CACAACGTTTCGGGGTTGTTTTGTACGCGAATTGCATGTACGGTAAGAGGACGCACTGTTCAGGAGGGTAAGAGTACGCAGAATTATACATTAAATCGAATATACAGAAATATAGAATTATTTATCAATCGCTCAATGACGTTTGTTTCGTAGGTATATCATCAATGGAGTACTGTGATGTAGATGCGTACCCGAAATTCTTCCAAATATGAGTTATTCTCCCTTTTGATTGTGCATTTTTGTAAAGAAACACACGACATGATTATTTCCTGATTTATAGACTTGAAAGATTTATTTTATGTTTTTTCTTTTTGGATACTAGAATTAACTTAAATGCCTTCTGAGTTTGAAGTTAAGCATTTGGACAGTACAAGCTGCATATGTGTGTGTTTATATGCTTGCGTACTCCACCCGCCTGGCGTGCGTACTCTTGCACACCCCATATGGTAAGAGTACGCAACTGCAGCGGTTCAGAAAATGTCAGTTTTAGACCACTTCCATTTACGCTGAAGGATCGTTGCCCCATGGGTTGATGGCTAATTCAATGAACTTAAATATTCCCTTTTTGCGATTTCTTTCTTTCAAATATTAAACAAATGAGAGCAAGAAATCCACTAAGTGCGTACTCTTATACGACTTCACCCTACCTCTTTTTATGCTCTTTCTTATTAATTATCTCAGATTTGACCTAAGGTAGGTAAACGTTTTAGCCGTAAAATATACGTATTCGCGGTGGACGTTTATGTACCTGTAATACCTTTTGGTTCAGACCTGCACGAGATTAGTTTAACCGGCATCGTGTTCCATTTTTCGAGACTAGTCAAATGAAGTAGAATTTGACATTAAAGGGCATTTTGAGAATTTGACCTAAGGTGAAGGTCACCTAGCCGGGAAAGGTCATATTACATATTAGTCAGTTTACACACATGTTACATGTTAGTCAGTTTACACATTAGACAGTTTGGCCTTGGAAGCCCTCCCGACCGGGAGTTTGGCCTTGGAAGCCCTCCCGACCGGACGTGTCCAGCGTGCTCCCCGGACCCAGGACCTAAATAGCCGAAAGTAACCTTTGCTATCCGTTACTGATCCAACAATATTGGTTGCCACCTCTTGTGATTAGTTTGGTAGAAGATATATAACATTGATATCCATTTGGTAAAAATACTGGACGGCTGGCGACGTGTTGAAAATGGCGGGAAGGAAGAAGAACAACAAAGAGGCGAATGATGCGCAGGGTTCGTCTTCAAAGGCTAAGAAAGCAAAACAGAAACAAGCTAAGGTAGTAAAAGAGGCTGAAATTGAGGAAAGCAGTGGAAGTGAGAGTGAGGATATCACAGATTCTGACGTAAGTAGTGATGGGGAAGAGATTATTGGACCTGTTGGACTCTGGAGATATGCTACTAAAAAGGGCAAGAAGGGAGATAAGGTAGTGTATGTATGTACGGGAGGCAAAAAGCCATGTGGTAAGGTCATTGAAGGGAAGGACAAATGCATCATGTGCGAATGTTGTGCTGGGTGGTTCCACACAGACTGTGAGGATCTCAGTGCCAGTGCAGTATACGCACTGGAGACGTATGAACTGCCATGGATTTGCATATCCTGTAGAGCAGAGTTGAAGCAGAAACGCAGGCTGGTTAGGAGGATTGACAGGCAAGTTGAATTTCGGATGAAGGGGATGGAGAAGGAGATCACAAGTCAGATAAACGAGACAGAGCAACGGCTAACAAGAAAACTCTCGGAACTAGGGCTACAGTCTACGAAGGAGCTCGACCAAAAACTTGAAGTGGGACTGAAAAATGTGGAGTCAAATGTCACAAAAGAAATCGGCAAGAGCTCCGATGAAGTGAAGAAAGCTGTAGTAGAACATGAGAGGAGAGTAGACCGTTCCCATAATGTGATAATGCACAACATACCAGAGTGTGAAGGAGGCACAGTGGCAGAGAAGATGGAGCATGACCAGGAGCAAGTCAAGAAAATCATCAATTCTATATGTGAAAATGACAGGGAGATCAAGGTTGAAAGGGTCTTCCGACTGCAGAGGAGGGATGCTAATCCCAACCCTGAACCCCGACCCAGACTGCTGCTCGTCCGCTTTGAGAAAAAAAGAAGATGCAGATCTGGTCATGAAGAACAGGTTTGGACTGCGTCATGCAGGATATCCAAACACATACATCAACAGAGAACTCTCCAAAGAAGAACGGGAGAAGGAGTGGATACTGAGGCAGGAACTCAAGAAGAAAGGAAGAGAAACTCATATGATTTTTCGAGGCAGGGTCGTTCCCAGGAACGAACAGTAAAGCGCAACCAGTATCCAATAATAGGAGTGAAATGCAATGCAAGTTAAGCTGTCTGTATACAAATATTGATGGATTAAGCAAGACAAAGGGAGATGAACTTAATATTGCAATCAACCATTTCAAGCCACATATTGTGTTTATAACTGAAACAAAAATGGACGAAACCCAAGTTGTCTCTCATTTCATTGAATGTTCTGGCTATACTGTTTTTAGAAGGGACAGGGGATATGGTAGAGGAGGTGGTGTTTTAATATTGGTCAAAGATTATATCACTGCCCGAGACTCTACCGATCAGTACAATGTTGAGTGTGTATCTTGCCAGCTGACATTTGGACAACATACTGTGAATCTTGCGTGCATGTATCGACCCCCAAATGCAGATGCTAACTACAATGAAGCTACTAGAGAAGCATTGAAAAACTCAGTAACAAGCATGGCCAAGTAGTCATCTGTGGTGACTTTAATTTTCCCCAGATTAATTGGATGCATAATACTGTACAGGGTGGCATGCTAACAGAGCAGAGCCAGTTCTATGAAGCTACCCAAGATGCCTTTCTACAGCAGCATGTCAATTTATGCACTCGAGTCCGAGGAAGTAATGAGCCCTCACTCTTGGACCTCATACTTACTCGGAACTCACTGGAAGTTGACAATTTAAAGTATAAATCACCCATAGGGGCCAGTGACCACTGTCTGTTGGTCATCGACCTGCTTATAGAAGGCAATGAACCACAGTTGCAAGCTGATACTAGAAAGAATTTCTTTAAGGGCAATTATGAAGAAGCAAACAACATGTTTGCTGATATTAACTGGATACAGGAACTTGGAGGGAAAGATGTGCAAGCTGCATGGGACATATTTATGATGCACTATAACGCTGTTGTTGATCACTGTGTTCCAACCTACACGAATAGCCCAAACAGAAAGCACAGGAAGAAGAAATGGACGACTCGGAAGGTAATGGAGGACATACAGAGGAAGGAGCATGCTTGGGACAGATACAGAAAATCAAAAAGCAAGACCCACCTGAACCAGTACAAGAAGATAAGGAACAAGGCAACAAAGAGTGTGAGGGAGGCAAAGTACCTGTTTGAAACCAAGCTTGCCAAGGAAGCCAAGACGAACCCCAAGGCATTTTATGCTTATGCTAGAAGTAAAACCTCAATTAAAGAACAAGTTTTGTCTGTTAAAAACAAGAATGGGGCCGACACAAAGACGTTAGAAGAGGCATGTGAAGTGATAAATGAAGAGTTTGAGAAGGTATTTACAAGAACCGCTGTCTCTCCCCCCTGGTCAGTTCTAACAGGTTTCCAGGGTGAAAAACTGACACAGGTGGAAATAACCAGGGATGAAGTGGAGAAGACACTGCGTAGTCTGAAGCCGTCAGCTCCAGGTCCTGACGGAGTGCACCCGGTTGTGCTAATGCACTGTGCGACCAGTCTGAGTACACCTTTGACAACTGTTTTTCAAACATCACTGCAACAAGGACGCGTACCGAGGGACTGGACAAGGGCAAACGTGACACCAATTTATAAGAAGGGCAGTCGGAGCGACCCACTCAATTACAGACCTATAAGCCTGACATCTGTTGCTTGTAAAACACTAGAACGACTAATCAGGACCCGCCTAATCAGCCATCTTGAAGAGTCTGGTCTCCTCAGCATCCATCAGCATGGCTTCCGATCTGGGATGTCGTGTTTAACACAGCTCTTGGAGTATCTGTGTGAGCTAGAGAATGCGATGGATGATGGAGACAGCGTTGACTCCGTGTACTTAGACTGTGCCAAAGCATTTGACTCAGTGCCGCACGACCATCTTCTTGCGAAGCTCTGGGCAGCTGGCATTGAGGGCCCACTAGCACACTGGATCCGATCTTTTCTAACAAACCGTGAGCAACGGGTATGCATTAAAGGAACACGATCTAGCTGGAGGAAGGTCAGGAGTGGCGTGCCCCAAGGCAGTGTTTTGGGACCGACTTTGTTCCTCATCTATATAAATGATCTGCTGGATGGACTCCAGTCAGGAGGGAAGCTCTTTGCAGACGATGCAAAGATCTTTCGACGCATCAAGTGTCCAGAAGACAGGCAGCGACTGCAAGCAGATCTCGACAAGCTACAGGAGTGGAGCAACAGGTGGCTTCTTAAATTTAATGAGAAGAAATGTACTGTACTGAACATAGGCAAAAGGAATCCCAAATACTCATACAGAATGGGAGGAGCCCAACTGGCACACTCGGAGCAAGAAAAAGACCTTGGGGTACTAATAACCACTGACCTGAAACCTGCCATGCAAGTCGCCAGAGCAGCAGCAGCAGCAAACTCTATGCTAGGCCGTATCAAGAACACCCTAACATGTCTCAGTGAAGAAACCCTCCTGCCGCTATACAAGGCACTTGTAAGACCACGGATGGAATTTGCAATTCAAGCATGGTCCCCCTACCTCAAGAAAGATATCATGAAGCTGGAGAAGGTGCAAAGGAGGGCCACAAAACTTGTCTCATCACTGTCTCATCTGCCATACGAAGAGCGGCTCCAAAGACTTGGCTTAACCACACTGGAAAAAAGAAGAACTTTCTTTTCTTTGTAGAGGCGACATGATTCAAACATTCAAAATACTCAAAGGCTTTGACCGAATCAAAACAGACTGTGCATTTCTGGTCCTGGATCATGGACAACAAGGAACAAGGGGACACAGTATGAAGCTAATTAAGCCAAGACACAGAACACAAAAACGTAACGAGTTCTTCACATCTAGAGTTGTCGACAAGTGGAACTGCCTGCCTGAAACCGTCATACAAAGTGAGAATGTCAATCAATTCAAGAGAAGATTCGACAAGTACATGCTAACTAACAATGAGAGGAGGCAACCCTCATGAGCCATCCGCTCCCATGCCTCCTACTCCTATCTCTTCGGTAAGCATCTCTTCGGTAAGTCGATCCGTATTGTCGAGAAGGAAAATAATCATATAAGGCGTTTCATTGCTCTACCATATCTCTATCAAAAGTTATTGTCCAAAACCTACTGGAGACCTTTCATGACCTGAGATGACCTCAGGGGCATTCCACGTCAAATCGAACAAAAATCGGCTGTTTTGCACCTTACCATCAGCGATTTCATTATAAATTTGTGAGCGAGTTCCTGTGTGGCTCCGGACATTACATTGATGTTTTTTGCACATTCTGACCACAGGTCTTCTAAATATAGGGCATCAAATTTTTACAAAATGTTGCATCTTTATATTTTTGAACGACCATAACTTTGGTTGTACTTGTTTGATTTGAATGAAATAAACCTTACTGTTTAGGTAATTTCTTAAGCATTTGTTTAGAACTGCACTAATTTAAATATATGACCTTGAAATTTGCTTAACTCTGTTCTTAAGCACAAATATTGAAATAGCAAAAAAACACGTCACCTTCGATTTGGCTCATTTTCATATATTTTATTGCCTACTATATTCTTAACAACCTGTGAAAAAATTAGAGTGGGCCATTCATAAGTTTTGAAGAAAATTGCACATATGCAAACGTATGTTAGCACGCGCAGTGGAGGGGGAAGAACAAATTTCGCCCACCCCTCCTGTTTTTCGCCAATATCTCATAAGATTAATGCGAAATTAATTATGGCTACCTGTCAAGAATTGAATTGGGCATCTCATCGTGCAAGCAATAAGAAAATCGGTTCACAACTGTTCTAGTAATAGCGGTGTAAAGTGAACATCCTGTCGCCGCAGCAACGCGGCGGCTCGGCAGCCGGCGCCGACCGCTACGCGCCGCCTGAATTGTAGACTGTGCCGGGACGGAACGGAACGGTTCCGTCTTTACATCGCGCTCCCTACCGCTGATTACCTTCGATTCGCGTCAAATTTTGTGAGAAGACTAAGAAATGTACAGGCAATCTTATGGTGAAAGAATTTTGAAAATCGGTTGGTAAACAATTGAAATATGAACGTGTAAACACAAAATTGTGATTGCTGCGTTTCCCGCATCGGCCGAGCCCGCCTCAGCCGGCGACAAGGTTACTCTTAGCAGGCCTCTAACTGCCATATTTATTATTGGATTAACTAGAAATTCCCCATACATACTAAAAAATGTATGTTCTTTCGTATAGTGGAGATCAAAAGACGTGAAAATATCGTAGCGTGATAATGTTTTCGTTGAATTTACTTCATGATGCATTTCCACACGGCTCAAAATTCACCGCAAAATACCGTTTGCCTGAGACACTTTTACTATGGAACGTGAATGCTTGACTACGATGACTATGCATTTCCATTCTCGCAGAGTTTGGGATATCACTAATCAGCAATCATTCATTTCAGAAAGTGTACACAAGCAAGCATGTCTTGACTCTGTCTTTCAAGGTCACGCGCGGTTGCGTGATGTTGATGCATGAAAACGGCGTTTGCCGCGAAAGTTATGAATGGCCCACTCCAATTTTTTCACAGATGGTTAGGAACATTGTGACGGACATAATATGTAAAAATTACCCAAATCGAAGGTGACGTGTTTTTTGCTATTTAAATTTTTCTGTTTTAATTCAAGGTCAAATGCATTTCAAGGTCACTTCAATTTAATTTTATAATTAAAAATCAAAGCCTTATCAATTGCCTATAAGACCCTGTTAACATCATTTTGATACCAGAAAAGGAACCAGAGTTATAGCCATTTAAAAAATTGATGTGTGGCATTTTTCGCTATATTCGATGACCTATATCTCAGCGATACGTTATCAAATTTTGAAAATATTATACGTAACTCAGTTTTGAACCATGCCCAGTCTGCCTACAAATTTTCAGAAAAATCGAAGGGGATGACGGATTTCGGTGTTTGATTTGACGTGGAATGCCCCCTCAGTAACACAAAAGTGGTCACATCACGAGTGAAATTTTCCGATGAAATGTGTCATATATACCTGTATCCCGATGTCTGAGGGTGTTTTCGTTCAGAAGGAGAGCATTTAAATTTTCTCCCATCAAACTGCGCCGTGCTGGGGGGGGGGGGGGATTGCGTTTTTACGCCCTTCCCCTTAGGTTTTTCGCGACTATGTCAAAAACGGCGTCGCCAAGCGCCATCATTTTTGGTACACATGTTTATACATCTTTTCCACACAATTTGGAAAATTTCAGACCCGGGTCGTTCAAGGTCAGGTCACCAGGTCAAGTCAAGTGACCTTACCTCAGAAAAAGTTAAAAGACTCGCGATAGCTACACCGACTGAACGATTACTTTTGAAACTTTCAGAGATTGATGAGACTAAAAATATGTATAACATGTTTATCTCGGCCTTTTGATATCTGTGACCTAAGGTCAGGTCAATTTTGCGACCTCTCCATTACAAGTCAATGGGAGAAACTATGAAATGCGCCTCTTTTGGACGAATGTTGTTCAATGCCCTCTCAAACATCGGTTCATAGGTAAACAAAACACACTGAATAGGAAAAATGCACATGTGAATTGCGACTTCTGTATGCTCCTGAGGTCATTTCAGGCCATGATCGGTCACCAACAGTTTTTTGGCTATAACTTTTGATAAAAATATGCTAGAGCGGTGAAACTACGTCAGATGTGTTCAGCTCCACGATATGGATCGACTGATATGTAGCATGACCCTTTCCGGTCAGGTCATGACCTTGACCTGAGGTCAAATTTTTTAAAATGACATTTCAATGTCAACGTGTAGTTCTTCGACGCGTCTCGACGGGAGGAACAGGATGCTGGCAAAATAAATCTCGTCACTGTTTGCAGAAACGTTTTTCTTAAAAACAGATATTTTTGGAGTTTTGCCATCTGGAGGCTAAACCGTGGACCCGAGGTCAATTCTGAGGGCAATAATCAGAAAGGTCTGTAAAATGGCTATCGAATGTGCTTTTCTGCAGCGCTGTAGCGCTATTGGTTCCCGATTTATCCGTTGGCAGTTTCCAAAATTGTTTAAATGGACTAAATTTGACCTTTGATGATCTCTGGCGACCTGACCTTTGACCTGACCTGAAAACTAAACAAAGTGTTTCCGCCATTATTTTGATGCTCTTTCGATTGTCGCTTACCGCGTGTCGCTACGTGGCCCAGGAGCCAAATGAGAGTGGGTCGCGTGAAAACGCCCCCCCCCCCCCAGCATGACACGGAAAACACAGGCCACCAGTACGGCGCGGTTTAACCCGCGCCCGGCTGGGGATCCTGGATTTCCACGCCCTGCTGGGGGGGGGGTGTTTGAACACCCCCCCTTCTAACTAGGCTCCTGGGCCACGTAGCGATACGCGGAAGGCGGCGTTCGAAAGAGCGTCAAAAATAATGAGGAAATCACTTGGTCAATTTTTTGGTCAGGTCAAAGGTCAGGTCACCAGAGGTCATTGAAGGCAAAATTTCGCCGATTTCCAGGTCGAATGTCGACAATTTCCAAGAAGCCAACGCATAACTCGGGAACCAAAAGGGCTACAGCGCCGCGGAAAAGCGCATTCGATAGCCCTATTAACGCCCTTTCTGAGTAATTTTCTCAGATTTGACCTAACGTCAACGGTTTTGCCTGCAGGGGGCGAAAACGGCAAAAATAGCCGATTTTTTCGGGAACAGTTTTTCTGCAATAACTTTTGACCCAAGCCTTGTACGAGCTTACTTTTACCGGCATCGTGTTCCTCTCGTCAAGACGCATCGAATGAACTATAACTTGACCTTGAAAGTTCAACTTGAAAATTTGACCTCAGGTCAAGGTCATGACCTGACCGAAAGGGTCATGTTGCATATCAGTCGATCCGTATCGTCGAGCTGAACACATCTAAGGCGTTTTCATCGCTCTGGCATGCCTCTATCAAAAGTTATTTGCGAAAAACTGTTAGATATCATTCGTGACCTAAGATGACCTCAGGGCATAAACAGGGGTCACGGACACCATTTTCATGTTCAGTGTGTCTAAACCACTTGTAATTCAGTGTTTGGGAGTGTTTATAATGTCTTTCGTCCAAAAGAGGCGCATTTCAATTTTCTCCCATTGACTTATAATGGGGAGGTCGCAAAATTGACCTGACCTTAGGTCATCGATATCAAAATTCTGAGACAGACATTTTGTACATGCTATTGCTCTTAGCAATCGCTGAAAGTTTCAAAACGATCGGTCACTCGGTGTAGCTATGACAGACATTGAAACTTTTTATGAGGTGAGGTCACTTCAAGTGACCTGGTGACCTGACCTTGAATGACCTTGGTCTGAAATTTTCACAGCATGTGTAGAATTGATGTATGATAAGGTGTACCAAAAACGGCGGCGGGAGCGCCGCCGTTTTTGAGATATTCGCGAAAAACCACAAGGGGGGTGTTCAAACACCCCCCCCCCCCAGCAGGGCGCGGGTTAAACAGTTGCCGACCGGATGACACCCATTGTTTGGTCACCCACGCCATAGTATGCATCATGGGTGCGCCGAAATGACCAAAAGTCCAAATTTCCGGTGTGCAGGGTCATTTTCAACGGCACGTGGCACGTGATTCTGGACTTTTCCGGCTATTTTGCGACATACCCATGGGTAGTGCACCGAATGGTGGTTGATCCGCATGGAAGAAAATGAGGGGTCGTTCGGATCGTTTTCGAGCAATCTGCCGTGGAACGCATTTTTTTCATTTTGCCCATTGGCTTAACACGGGAATTTTCAAAGTCACGTGGCACGTGCAACAGATTGTCCGCGGAGGGGAGACCCATACCAGAACGTAGATCACCTGGCCCACTAGAAATCCTGAAAAAATCAGAATTTTTGGAACAGCCATTTTCTAGAGCATCAAATTGTACTGATCTCAGGCAGCTTTTGCCAAATTGTCAGGGAACTCAGATTTGTTTTTCAATAGAAAAACACAATTCTAAAGAATAGTGTTTTAACTATTGACAACAAACCTTCGGTTATACCTGATTATTATGTTCGATCATCTGAAGATGTAACCAGATGCCCATATACTTTCATACGTTGCCTTTCTTAACCCGCGCCCTGCTGGGGGGGGGGGTGTTTGAACACCCCCCTTGTGGTTTTTCGCGAATGTCTCAAAAACGGCGGCGCAGAGCGCCGCCGTTTTTGGTACACCTTATCATACATCAATTCTACACATGTTGTGAAAATTTCAGACAAAGGTCATTCAAGGACAGGTCGCAAGGTCACTTGAAGTGACCTCACCTCATAAAAAGTTTCAATGTCTGTCATAGCTACACCGAGTGACCGATCGCTTTGAAACTTTCAGCGATTGCTAAGAGCAATAGCATGTACAAAACATATATCTCAGAATTTTGATATCGATGACCTAAGGTCAGGTCAATTTTGCGACCTCCCCATTATAAGTCAATGGGAGAAAATTGAAATGCACCTCTTTTGGACGAAGGACATCATAAACACTCCCAAACACCGAATTACAAGTGGTTTAGACACACTGAACATGAAAATGGTGTCCGTGACCCTTGTTTGTGCCCTGAGGTCATCTTAAGTCACGAATGGTATCTAACAGTTTTTCGCAAATAACTTTTGATAGAGGCATGCTAGAGCGATGAAAACGCCTTAGATGTGTTCAGCTCGACGAGACGGATCGACTGATATGCAACATGACCCTTTCCGGTCAGGTCATGACCTTGACCTGAGGTCAAATTTTCAAGTTGACCTTTCAAGGTCAAGTTATAGTTCATTCGATGCGTCTTGACGAGAGAAACACGATGCCGGTGAAAGTAAGCTCTTACAAGGCCTGGGTCAAAGGTTTTTGCAGAAAAACTGTTTCCGAAAAAATGGGCTATTTTTGCAGTTTTTGCCCCCTGCAGGCAAAACCGTTGACGTTAGGTCAAATCTGAGAGAAATACTCAGAAAGGGCGTTAATAGGGCTATCGAATGCACTTTTCCGCGGCGCTGTAGCTCTATTGGTTCCCGAGTTATGCGTTGGCTTCTTGGAAATTTTCGACATTCGACCTGGAAATCGGCGAAATTTTGCCTTCAATGACCTCTAGTGACCTGACCTTTGACCTGACCCAAAAATTGACCGAAATGATTTCGTCATTATTTTTTACGCTCTTTCGAACGCCGCCTTCCGCGTATCGCTAGGTGGCCCAGGAGCCGAGTTACAAGGGGGGGGGTGTTCAAACACCCCCCCCCCCCATCAGGGCGTGGAAATCCAGGACCCCCAGCCGGGCGCGGGTTAAATGGCAAGCGTTTGCGCTCAATTGAAGTTTTCCTCTCTTCAACCTAGTTTTGGAGGCATTATAAGCGTCAACGTGACGCAGCGGCAGCCCAGGCCTTCAGTGACCGCTTGGCGCTTACAGGGGCGACAGATACGGAGTGGCAGAGGAGGCACCGTCCCCTAAGAAACTTTTGGAGGAGGGACAAACGTATATTCTTGCCCCTCTATAATTTGTGCCCTAAACATTAGGCAAATTTCCATAACCTGATATTGCAGCTATCCGCTCCATACAGTTTGTTCAACGGTGCCTTTTGAATATGTGTAAATGCTAACCATTTCCGCTTTATATCATTTTTTTTTTGTCTTTTTAGATTCGATTTAGAGATATTTTAAGTGTGCAAGAGACGCAACTCATACCTTCAGTGGTCGTTTGCCGCTATTTTGTACCTACATAAATGCCAAATCGCAAGCGAGCGGAGACGGAAGGGCTAGCCATTCGCTTGCGGGTAGTTAGGACTGATGAGCGCTCATAATAAGCCACTCCCCTGATTTTTTTTTCAAGCGCAACAGTTTCCAGCGTATAAAATGGTAAACGCCGAGGTCGTACACATCGACCACATTGACCAATGCACGGTATGGTATGACACCCAAAGGCCAGTCATCAGAGATCTGCTTTGGGCATTCGGAGGCTTGTGTGGGGCCAGTGTTAAAACTGGATGTTCACAGTTCAGTATCCGCTTTATTTCAGTTTTCACTATAAAAAGTAAACATTAATGATGGAAACTTTTGAGGGTTAGGGCACTGATCATTAGTGCCCCCCCCCCCCTCTGTCTAAGGGCTGGCTATAGAATAAAGAGCATCAAACACGAACAGTAGCGGTGGAACACCTTCAATTAGGGGGGGGGGGGGCACTGCCGACTTTTGGTCCCATCCTTTCCATGCAACGCCCATAGGGATAACGTTAAAATGCCAAAATCAAAGGGGGGCACGGTGCCCAGGTGCCCTCCCCGTTCCACCGCCTATGAACACGAAAGCAAAATCTAAGGCATTTTGGAAAAATGAGCATGCCCCCGTCAAGGAGGTAAAGTTGGCCTTACAAAGGGAGTCTGATAGCGGCGGACCGTGGGACCTGAGACTCACCAGATGGCTGATGAGACAGCGCACAACACCTCATTCAACAACCATGGTGACACCCGCTGAACTAATGATGGGTCGCAGGCTTCGCACACGGCTAGATCTGTTGTTTCCAGATATAGGCAAGACAGTCCTACAGCAGCAAAACAGGCAGAGGACGTACGTACTTTGACCGAACGTCTCAGTGTCGGCAAATGCTGGTTGGCGATGCGGTGTTCGCGAGAAATAACGCTGTTGGGTTGCAGTGGCTGCCTGGGGTTATCGTCGGCACCGATGGCCCGGTGTCTTACGTGGCCCGTTTGTTTGATGGCAGGATTTGGAGACGGCATGGTGACCAGCTGAGGAGGCGGCAGTCAGCTGAGCCGATCGGTCCGCCGGAGGCGGCGTCACGGGAGGTCCGGCGGCCGTCGTCCGATGCTGCTGTCCAGCCCGGGCGACCAGGTGGAGCGTCTCAGGGGGCTACGCCGCCGGCACCGCTGTCGTCCGCCGTGCGGCCGTCGCAGTCGCGGCCGGGGGCGCTCACTCAGCAGCCGCCTCAGCCCAATGTTCGGTCGTCGCCGACGCAGCCGGGGGTACCGGCTCAATCGTCACATCGGCCGTCGCCCGTCTCCGCCCCGTCGTCACTCGAGCCGGGTGGGCCGCCGCGGCCGTCGGCGGACGTTTGGCCGTCGTCCGCTCCGGGAACGTGTCCGGCGCCGAGCTCACCGGATGGGACTGGGCCTCATCCAGAGGTGGCGACATCTGTGGAGCGGACATTGCGGCGCTCGACTCGAACGCGGAGAGCGCCTGAGCTATATCAGGCAGGGAGTGGGATGTGATGGCCTGTTACCTGTACTAGTGCTACGAGGAAGTGCTTAGTTAAGGAAGGGGAGTGTAGTGTATTGCTCTGCCTTGCTGAGGTCACGGATCGGTGAGGTCACGGCTGGTCCGTGACGTCAGCGCGTATGTGAACGTACTGCCGCCGCGTCTGCCCTGGGGCGCTGTGGGGTCGGCCGCGGGCCGGTTTGGGCCGCGGGCCGGTTTGGGCCGCGGGCCGGCAGTGTGCTTGGAGAGCCTGAGACCAGTTCGTTACAATTATACTATGAGATACTGGTAGTATTGGTACAGCGGACAGTCAGTCATTTGCTGGATTTAGCGTGACTGCTTCTCTCTTTTGCATGCTAGACAGTGATTTTCCCTTTTGTTTATTTCACCTTCCTAGCAGGGAGTGCCGCGACTATTACATACTCTTATGTATGTCTTGTCTGGTGTTAGGTCAGGTTCTGTGCGTCGCTGGGACTGCGGTGGGGACACTCCTGGTCATCTGTTCATGGGTGACGGACTTTTGAGAGAGAGAGAGAGAGAGAGAGAGAGAGAGAGAGAGAGAGAGAGAGAGAGAGAGAGAGAGAGAGAGAGAGGGAGGGAGAGAGAGGGAGAGAAAGAGAGGGAGGGAGAGAGAGGGAGAGAGAGGGAGGGAGGGAGAGAGAAGGAGAGAGAGAGAGAGAGAGAGAGAGAGAGAGAGAGAGAGAGAGAGAGAGAGAGAGAGAGAGAGAGAGAGAGATAGAGATAGAGATAGAGAGAGAGAGAGAGAGAGAGAGAGAGAGAGAGAGAGAGAGAGAGATAGAGATAGAGAGAGAGAGAGAGAGAGAGAGAGAGAGAGAGAGAGAGAGAGAGAGAGAGAGAGAGAGAGAGAGAGAGAGAGAGAGAGAGAGAGAGAGAGAGAGAGAGAGAGAGAGAGAGAGAGAGAGAGAGAGAGAGAGAGAGAGAGAGAGAGAGAGAGATTATTGTTAGCGCAGCAAACGAATTCGACCTGAACTAGTCTGGCAAAAAAAAAAAAAAAAACATTTAAAAGAACATTCGGTCAAGAAAAGAATAACCACTAGGTTTTGTCATGTGATTCAAATCCTCAAAATGATATTTCTGTCTCGCCTATCTTGTGTTAAGTGATAGGCAATTGATCTTAATTTCATCGAGGAAAAATGGCAGCATAATTGTGCCCTTAGATCCATTTTGAGTTCGTTGATGGCTATTTTGTTTACATTGCGAACATTTCTCCAGGATTTGCTGGCGCTTCCGAGGGAGGATTTCCTGGCGTCCAGAGCAGCGCCCCTGTGGCAGTCGCTCAGCTCAGCGTCTGAGCTCAGTAGCGGCGCGGCAGCCGGCGCTGGCAGCCGTCACTCACTCCACCCCTGTGGCAGTCGCTCAGCTCAGCGTCTGAGCTCAGTAGCGGCGCGGCAGCCGGCGCTGGCAGCCGTCACTCACTCCGCCCCTGTGGCAGTCGCTCAGCTCAGCGTCTGAGCTCAGTAGCGGCGCGGCAGCCGGCGCTGGCAGCCGTCACTCACCCGTCAATGAGCGGCACCTGGCTCAGGATCTGCTTGGCCGTGTGCAGTCGCTGCTGCAGACCGGCAGACGGCTCGAGTCGCAGCACCAGCGGTACACTGACACCGACGCCGGCGGCCAGCGCCACCACCAGCAGCGCGCAGCACAGCCAGCACACGTACCCGCAGGCCAGCCGCCGCCCTGGAGCGCACAGGAACACGGTCACAGCACAGCCAGCACACGTACCCGCAGGCAGCCGCCGCCCTGGAGCTAGTGGCGTAGCCACCTGTTTAACTCACCTGTTTGGGGTTCCCTTGGTCTGAGAGTAGCCAAATGGATAGAGGAACAGAGAGTAGCGGGAAGGAACCCGCATAGAAAGAGCTCGCCCGGTGGATGAGAGAACACATCCCATCGGGAAAGTGAGCCCATTGCTTAACCCTCGCCGGCCGAGGGGGGGGGGGGGCGGGTGCCGCCCCCCCCCATAGGGTTTTTTTCGCGATAGCTCCGAACACGCTGACGATAGAGAGCTGAAACTTGGCATACCTGACCTTTGATCCAAGCCGGATCTTTTGACGCCAACCGCATTTTTGGGTCAGGTCAGGTCACTGACCTATGACGTCATAAGTGAACCTCTGCACGGTCTTCAGATGTCGCAACTTCGCAACGCCCTCACTGCCAGAGGAGATGTCACAGGGAAATGAAACTTGTAGGATCTAGTATCCATTATGAGTCCCACAACTTGTATATCTCGGATTTTTCCTAAAGGTCATATGAGGTCAGGTCATTTTCGTGACCTCACCATTATAAGTCAATGGGGAAAAATGAAAACTGCTATTCTGGCGCCGGGAACGATCTCCAACTATCTCAAGCACACAGAATCGTGATTTGATGCACTCCTTGCAAGGTTAGATGCGTCACTTTTGCAATGTTGACCTTGCGTGACGTCATTTATGACGTCATCAAGGTCATATTCGTTTTTCGTCAATAACTCTTGATCAAATTGAGCTAGCGAGTCGGGAAAGCCACCAATGGACTCAGGAAGACCTGCCGAATCGAATGATATGCGACATGACCTCTTTCGACCAACTTCGTGACCTGGGGGTGCTGACCTGACCTTGACCTGAGGTCAACACCCCAAGTTGACCTGACCCGGACAAAAAGTATATCATTCGACGCGCCTGAGCGAGACGAACACGATGCTGCCAAAATCGGCGCTCTGCGGCCGTTTTTTGCGAAGTTATTCACCAAAAACTGAACCGTACCTTGGGGCACTTGACCTGACCTCAGAGGTCACCGGTTGACCTAGGACTTTAAAATCGGGTACCAATCTCTGCGTCTCGTAACGGCGCACACGCTCGTTTTTTCCGCGACGCGCTAGCTCGACCAGGGGCGAAACGGCGAGGGGGGGTCGTACCCGCCCCCCCCCCTCGGCCGGCGCGTATGTAGAAAACCAATAGGTCCGGCGAGGGTTAATGCTTATGTTATTTATGAATTTCATGTTGTTCTAGTGTGAATACATGCTCTCTCTCTTTCTCTCTTTCTCTCTCTCTCTCTCTCTCTCTCTCTCTCTCTCTCTCTCTCTCTCTCTCTCTCTCTCTCTCTCTCTCTCTCTCTCTCTCTCTCTCCCACAAGTGCCAAATGGATAAGTCACAAAGAGTGTAGTGATACTAACAGCAACATTGTCGAATCAGTACACAGTATCCAGTCATGGAACACGGCTTCGTTAAGATATCCACTCAAAACTAGAATGAAAACAGAGCATCGCCCAGTGTTGTAGACGACAATGATTTAAAGAGAGATAATGAGCTTTCTTTTTTCTTAAATAAAAATTACTCGACATCTATACTACTTCTACTGTAGTTTCTATAAAATATGAAAAATTTCCTAGCACATTTTCGTATGTGAAAAAGGTTTTTATTTTTGCAAAAAAAGAAGCAGTACTTGCAGTACTTATAACACCCACCGAAATGCGTTGTCCTTCTCTATAAAAAAGTCGCAGTATATGGCGCTTTTGTTTCAAACAGCGACGCTTGGGTTTTTGTTTATGTTATCGCCTTGTCGTTGCTTGGTTGTAAGGATTCTAATTTGAATTAGAGTTAATTCGGTTTAGAATTAATTATATTCTAATTCGGGGGTACATAGTGCCTACTCTTCTTTGTTTCCAAGTATTATTTTGCGCCACAAATGAACGGCATGCGCCAGAAACGCAGCCAAATCTTGCGATTGCGACTACGAAATTCATTATTTTGGCGTCAGAGCCTGAAGCGAAAAATACAAGCATATTTATTTCAAAAAGACTTCAGGTTTGTCGAACGGTGTTATGAGAATTTTGATAACAGTACTGCATAAGTTTTTCAGTGATGCCGCAAAAGTGTTGTATCTATCTTTATAGCTTAGTACACGAGCGTTTCTAAATTTTCATTTTGTGACCGAGACGTAGTCGAGGTCACAAAATGAAAATTTAGAAACGCGAGTGTACTAAGCGATTTAGTATATGACTGCGCCACGCGAATTCAAAATTAAAGCGAAAAATCAAGTCTGAGGCCTGTTTCACTAACAAATAAAGTGTGTAATTACAAAGAAAAAACTTGAGTTTAAAAGAAATATTTACCAACATTTGAAATTTGGATTTCACGAAACCTCCGAGCATGAATTTTGAGTTTAAAATTTACCAACTTTTTTACAAGAAAAAAGTTTGTAAGAAACATCGAAATCGCAAACTTTCTGTTTCACGAAGACCAAAAACTTGAAAGAAAACGTTGTACTTACAAACTCGAAATTCCAGTGGCTCTTACGTTCGGAATTTTATTACTTTTTGTGCAATGATGCAAAGCAATCAATTATTTAAAACAAATATGATATGCTGAGTCATTATATGCTCTTTTTTACTTAGCACAATCCCTACGAACCAGCTACGAGCAATAAATAAATATCGTCATGTTTTGTCATTCGCGCGCCATAATTGCATTCAACAGTCTTCTGCTGTCAAATGTTTTGCGTGCTATTTTCTTTCAATAATAAAATATTGTGAACTATCATTTATACCATTTAGAAACAGCATCATTATTTATAATTTTTTCATGCATTTTTTGACATGAATACTAGACATAATTTGATAAAAAGAAGCAATATCTGTAACATGTTGTAGTTCTTGATTAAAAACATTTTTACTGTTTACAAGTTTTTTTGCAAACTCTTTTTATCGGAGGTGCCGCTGGTGATGAAGTTTAGTGAAATCCGATTTTACATAGTTTGCAAAAATACTTATGAATTGTAAAGTTCAAACACTTGTAATCGCAAGTTTATAGTGAAACAGGCCTCTGGAAACAATTTCGGTTTGCATTGTCAGCAAATTTAGGCCTTGGCAGTTACACGTTATTCGAATTAACAGTAATGAGTGATAGACCGTGTTTTGATTTAATTGGCAATTTACTTGATGATGATGAAGATAAAAATGAAACTACGATAGAAACAGCGAGAGAGGAAGCCATTAAGTTCATTGCTAGCACCAAGTCATCCAGGACAAAGGAAATCACTGAACAAGACGTACGTAAATTTAAACACTTTCTTCTGCATGAAGGACAGAGCAAGGATCCACATGAGCTGGATGCGCCGTTGTTAAGTGCCTACCTATGTAGGTATACCTATCCAACAACTGAAGAGAAGCGATGGCGAGGAATATGAACCACAGACTCTGAAGGGGATCATATACTCAATCGAAAGGCACCTAAAAGAGCAGAGCTACCCTGACTTTAAGATATCGACATCGTCATTTTCTCTTGCCCAAGATGTCCTCAAAGCAAAGATGGCGGTGTCAAAGTCGTCCGGCAAGGGCAACGGGCCAAATAGAGCCATGCCAGTATCCGAAGAAGACGAGAGGAAATTCTGGGAGTCAAAGGCCTTCGGCTTTCACCATCCTATGGCGCTCCTTAGTCCTTTTTTGGTATTTCACGATGCTGTTTGGACTACGAGGGCGCAACGAGCACCACCAGATGTTATGGGGAGATGTCGATCTGAAATGCGGAGCTGATGGTGAGTACCTCGAGTACTCGGAGAGACTTACAAAGACTCGCCGCGGATGCGACTCTGGCAGGGCTTTCAAGCCGAAAATTTTCTCGCTGGAGGATAAAACGAAATGTCCAGTGGAAGCATTCAAGTTGTATTCGTCGAAAAGACCAGCAAGCTCCGATTCGTGCTCAAAATTCTACCTGGCAGTGAACTACACATTTGAAAAGACTGGCAACTGGTTCAAAAACGCTCCGCTTGGAGCCAACTCTCTTGGGGGCTTACTCAGCTCTGCAGCAAAAATAGCTGAGATAACAGACAAAAAAATCGTAAACCACAGCGCCTGGAAGACTGCGATCAAACGGCTCCTTGATGGTGGGTGTCCTGAAAGCTATGTGACTCAGCTCACAGGGCATAAGTCAGTAAACAGTCTCACTAGCTACTCTGAGGCATGCGACACCGTCCAACGGAAGATGGCAAGGACCGTAACTGAAAATGCAGACTTCTCCAACTTGATAAGCATCGTCAAGATCACAAAGCCAGTGTAGCCGGGTCAGCAGCGACGTACAGAGCGGTGCGTCATTCACGGTCACAAGCACGGCGGATCTCGCGAGCATCAGTCGTGGTGCTGTGGTCGGCATGCAGAGTTCCACAGCTGTACATTCAACATACACTTCAACATGACGAGCAAGGAGAGCGTATGAGCTACCCTGGAGGGCATGCACACGTCATTGTGATGGACGCACGGCAGACAATACTGCCGAATATGTAATATGTACATGTATTGATGACTGTTTTGTCATTTTGTGTCATTGCTAAGTCTGCAATACATGTTGATTGTTCACTGCTGGTATTTAATTGGGTGGCTCTGAAACTGATATTGATTTTGTCCGAACACCAGAGATAGAGAGAAAAACACATTTGAATATACATACATAAATAAACAAGCCATAGAATAGGCAAGAATAGCCAATAGACAATAAAATAGATGAAAAATGAAATTGCACGGCGTTGACTGTAGGTCATAGGACATTGACCTGTCTGTTTTGGATGGGTCATTGACCCGTTCACTAACAGTTTTGTTAGTGCACTCCGTGCACTAACAAAACTGTTAGAAACGCTTTCATCCTCAACACGTGCTCCAATGGAAAAACGATCTTCAGTCATATACTAACTTTTATTGTGCAGTCGGCGGG